TGTACATTTCCCAGAAAGCTTACACAGGTACAAATACCATTTTTCATGAAAAGTGGAGTCCCTGTTTCCTGTAAGTGCTGGTAACTTGCTGCTCTGTGAAGAGAGATTGTGAAAGTAGTCTGTTGCTGTCTTGAACTACTAATTGTATTAGAGAAGGTAGCTATTCACTAGCTGCAATACTGCAAGGGGTGTTGATACTCACTGGATGCAGCCCTTCTTTTGTTCAGAATGCACAAGGCAAGAAGTGAATCAGCTCTAGTAGCTATGTTTCTGCTTGTCTTCTCAAATAATTTCATTCGTAGTCTTGCTGCTTCCATAGTTCACAGCAGAACTGTAGTGTGTTTTTAAGAAAATCCATCTGCTCCTTGATGTAGACTTTTTGCTCTTTAATATGGCTACAAATACTTTGTGAATGACCTACCATTTTATTGATGTTTTCCTAGCCATATGCCATGGCTTTACATGGTTTTGCTCACATCTTCAATAAATATGAACTGTGTTTTTTATCACTTTCTCACTGTATTGTGCAGGATACTTGCTTTCATCTGGTGTTAAACATGAAAAATGAATTTGAACATTAGTAGAATCCATTTGGGAACTAGAACTTTTTTTGTAAATAAAATTATTCATTTGTTATGTCCTACTTTTTTTTTTTTTTTTTCTTTTCCAGCAGACAACATATTGATCTTTGGATTTCTGTTCAGGATGCCATAAGGAGAACTAGCACAACAGGAACACAGCAACATTTGTAAATTGATTGAATGCAATACGTAATGACAGAGACAAACATCAGATCTATGGCAATACTATATTATACAAAGCATTTTTCAACAGTTTATTGAATTAGTTATTAAAAGAAAAAAAAAAAAACAACATGCTTTCCATCCGGGAATGATGAGCTGAGGGCTATCATGGTAGACAGTGCAGCACTTCCAATAAGCGCACACGTATGCACATATAATAAATTAGAATAAATCCTTTACAAAAGAAAAATCATCCAGGATTGATTACAAAAAGGGCATTCAATTTAATAAAATAAAATAAAATCAAGCAAACAAAAACACAACAAACCGTTCAGCTGTTATATATTAAGTGTTGCCGGACTATTTGGTATTACTCTATTCCATAGAGATCTGCTGTCTTCCACCACAGAGTATTCTGATTATAGGGAATTGCGTATGTATAAGAACCAAATTTTTTTTTTCTGTCAATTTCACCACTATATGAAGTTAATGGTCATTCTTTGTTGCTGAGGCATTGCATTGTGCTGTTTTGTGATTGACTGTGACTTGTTCCTTTCTTAATGAGTAGAGAAAACATTTGTTGGACCAGATGCTTCTTCAAAGATTTGATAACAGCCTAAGCTGCAGTGTAATTGTTCTGGATCTGTTGCATGGGGGGGATGCAATCTAGGTCATCCAATATAAGAATAGCATCTGGTTTGCTGTACAATGTACCTGTCTGTGAGCTCTCAAGTATTATCAGAATTGTTGCATTACTTGAGACTGACATAGTCTTTATTGTGACAAAATATTTGCAGTTAAATCATTTTAATTAGCATGGTGTGTTAAAATAATTAAAAGTAATTAATTTAGTTACAGTCCTGATAGATTTTTCCATTGAAGATTGGACATTGGTTCTGGAAAGACAAGTTCTCTCACAAGTTTGATTGAAAAAAAAGGTGCAAAATTGTAATTTGTAAAATTTGTAATTTTTACTAGAAAAAGTTGTGCAGAAGATCTTCCCGTATGCACAGCTTGCGCTAAAGGAGGACAGACAGCAAGATATAACCACAGCATCCACTTCTTTATAATTCTGCTAAAGCAAAAACTTGTGGTTTGTGCAATCAACTTAAACCTTTCAGACATAATGATGGTAGAATTTTACTTTTTACACGTGCATGTCTTTCTTTTGGGCATGTCTGGAATATAACGCATAGGTTTTATTCTGGATTCGAAACTGAAATGCCAAATGGAAACTCTGAATGACTCAATACACAGTAAAGGACGATGCGTTCTCTACTGAAGCATCCTGCTTCTGACGGCAGCTAAGATAATTAGCATTTGTAGAGGTTGACTTGAGGTTTGAAGTATAATGCACCTATTTTTCTTTAAAAAATCAAAACTCAGATATTTGGAGGGGAAGCATTTCTAGGTCAATGTTTCTAATTCCTTTCTGAAGAATGTCAGGACCAGGATACAAGTGTAACTGGTCTAAGCTAAATATTGTTTTAGCTATCATCATTTTTAACCAGTCTCCTAATTTAAATGTTTGTGGATCATACTATACACGTGCACGTGAGATCAATTAGCATTGATACTTACTAGATGAATGGAATTCTGTGACCATCACATCCGTTATCACCGTGCTTTCATTGTGGGAACCTCCTCCGGAAAGAATTGGTCTTGTTTTTTGTTTTTTTTAGTTATTCAGCAACTGCAGAAATTGTTGGTGTAAAATTAGTCCACTTGTTATATTAGCCTTTAACACTATACTCCCACCTACAACTACAGGAACACAGCTTGAAGGAAATTTAATTAGGAAAATGAGGGAGATGAAAAAGGCAATGTAATATATATGCGCAATATGAAGAAGAGTAAATACACTTTTCATCTGAATAGTCAGAATAGAAACTGTGTTAAACTGAGATGAAATTTTCTTTTATTAGAAATGGATTTCTTTCATTTTTTAACATTACTACCTAATTGCCCTCCTTATTACTGGGATTAAAAAGACTACTATCATTAAAGAAGAAACATCTTTCACAAATTATATTTAGATTATGGTTTTAGCTGGCAATGACCTTCTCATTATGTGAAAAATAGAAATCCCCAGGGGAACAGACTTAGTGAGGTGATTCCTATCAGCTGGGAAGCCCTGTGCACACACTACTTGCATCTCATGACCTGCATGCATACACCTGTACTGTATCAATTTCTGCTTGTTTACAGGTCATTCAAGCAATAAGCAGGTAGAATTCGGATGACTGAGAACCTGCTCTGCTGGTAGCAGTTTCCTGCCTCACTGCACTCTGGAATATTCCAGCCTTGCTGCAGTGTGCTGCTACATAGCCATGAGTTTTTCAGTTACAACCGTTACTCATTTTCCTAATGTATTTTTTAGCACTTGTATTGGTACTAAGCATAGATGATAACGCTTTACAGAAAAAACACAAAGGATCACTAGGACAGAAAACAGCTTAAGTAATATCTAATAGATAATTGTTTAAGAAAAAAAAAAAAAAACACAACATAATCCCCTTTCGTAATTGGAGAGGAGAATACTGGGGTCTGCAGTGTTTCATAGTGCAACCAATACAACCATCGTACATTTGAAACACATGCGTTAGTTATTTAGTCTGAATTAAGAGAAAGAAATACACTATTCGGGTATATTATTATATAGTAAGCAAATACAAAAGCATTTAATACATTAATTTTACACATGAAATTTCAAAATGTTCTAATGATTATTTCAGTTCTAGGTTTTGGGTCAGACCAATTGTGCTGTAACCAGATTTTTCAGACTCTTGCTTAGGGAGGTGTGAGGCCAGTGTTTTTATTGCACTCACTCTTCCTGGATGCATGCAGTAGGTATATCCAAGACCATGTGGCATGGTTGATCTAAATTTCCCAGGCTGCGGTTACTGTGCGTGGATCCATTTAGAATTTTCAGAAAATTAATTTTTTATTGCTTTTAAAGAATTGAAAATATTCATTAAGATTAGAAAAAGAGCAGTGGTGACCCAAACTCTATGCCAAATAGTGCTGCGTATGTTTATTTCGGCAAATCTGTTGAGTGTATTTATGCAGGTTGTCAGCTCAGCTGACAAAATCTTTTTTGAATATCTCTCCAAAAATAAAGAAGAATATATGATATTTAAAAATATATATATATATATATATATTTTTTTTTTTTTCATATGACCTTTGGATATGTATTTATTCTAATACAGCTTATGGTTAATTTTAATAAAAAAAAAAAACATTCCAGTGTTGAAATTATGGTCAGTATCTGATAAGTCCTGAAGAGACTTTTCTCCTTTACAGTGTCATTGTGTGTTGTAGACATAACCTCCACACGATAACTGCAGGCTGCACAAACTGCCTGTGACGATGTGGAGAGCTGTATCAAAAGACCTCATTTGACTCTAATGGTGTCTTTTCCTTCATCAAAGGAACTTATAAAACTGAATTTTCTGATGAGTCACTTGGTTCAAGTAAGGTAATACTATTGTAATGCTTTTGATGTGTCTGAAGTATTGTGTCACATGAAATTTTTCATAACTTCATATTTTACTCTGCAGCATCTTGGATATTTCTGATTGAATTAAATACGTTAAATAATTTAGGGCTTAAATACCTAAAATAGATACTGTTAGGATTGTGCCTTAGTTATTTAAGCAGGATTTTCGTTGTCTCCAAAAGACAAGAAAATTTTAGTGAATGAAAGTGGGAATCTTTGGTTCTCTGTTTAAGAGAAAACATTGCATACAGCTATTGATCTTCACATCTGTTGCTCAAATTGGAAAGCATGGACAGAAAATGACCAACTAATTTGTTTTTCTTAGTTAACTGGTATTTCTTCAGTTGAGGTATTTAGTGGACAGGTTGATTTAGAAAATGTAGTTTCTTTATTTTGGAAGCCTCTGTGTGCATTGATTCACAAAGGGCATGTGAAATATTATTTGTGCTTTTCTAAGCACATATGACTCGAAATGTATATAATACACAACGAATAAAAACGGGAGGAAGAAAGTAACTCTCTGTCCCAAATTTTTTAGCCCAACCAAGATGATTGGTTTTAGAAATCAATGTAAAAATCATGCTTTGGAAAGAAGTCACCTCTCCACATCAGTGATATTTTTGGAAAGGTTGGTGATACCTTGGTAAGCCCAGGAGGCACTTTCTTTCAGAAGCAACCCAGACAACTTGGCTGTCTTATTCCTGTTCCTCAGAAAAACAAAGTCAGTCTCATAATTATCTTAACTGTTGTCTCTTTCAGAACGCAGAGATTATCATTTATCATGCTGAGATTTGGGCAGCACATCATCAAGCCCTCCGTGGTCTTCCTGAAGACTGAGCTCTCCTTTGCTCTTGTGAATCGCAAGCCGGTGGTCCCAGGCCGTATCCTTTTGAGCAGTGCCTTGGCCATGGGTGCCTGTGTTCTGTGGAGAAGCTGAGGAAGGTTGGCATGCTCTGAAGGCCAGGTAGGATGTTGCGCGGATTTATTCTGAAACCAGGTGGTGGAACGTAATACGCTTGATTGGTGTTGCAGAACTGCAGAAAAGGGTTGCTTAGCAACTGTGACCTTACAGGTGAATTTCTATTGACCTTTTCACCACAGAAGATGTATAAACAACAGGTGCTACTAAAAGCATTTTAAAGTGTATCTGAGAGGATACTGTTTAAATTTCATATTATGCTAAATAACACATCCTGCTTCCCTTTTAATAATGTCACTTATTTTTAGATGTGGTGACTTCTTTATGGAGGATTTTCAACTTCTTGTAGCTAAATGTACACAATTTGTCAAATGGCAGCAGAATTCTCTATGAAGACTATTATTTTTGGGGGGGAACAGATTGCTTTGATTAATTTAGGTAGGAATGGATTAAATAAACCATCTGTATAGCAAACACACTTTCTGAGGAAAAATGAATCCCCGTGTTGTAAGCAAAACTTAGTTTTTAGAAATTTTAAGGGAACTTGATTGTGCAAGATGCTAAATGCATCTATTTAGTTTATTTTATAATGTTGTGTATTATTTCATAGTTAGAACTCTGGTGCTACGTAACTTGTGCTGATTTCAGTGGCTGGAGGTTGAACTTCTCAGAAATATTCAAGACTGATCATTTCCACAGAGGTTTATGGTAAAATTTTAGTAGGAACTGTTAAGAAATGGCTGAATGCATGTTGGGGGGAAAAAAAAAGCCTGGAGTTCATTGAAAGCTTTTCTGTACTTTTCTGTTGTTTCTCATAATTTAATATATAATTTTAAATTTAGTAGCTTTTAATATAATTGTATACCTATAAAAGTATTTTATTCCTCTGAAATTTTGAATGTCCCTCTCTTCTCATTACTTCTGTATATTATAACTGTTCAATGTAGAACTTCTTGGTGTACCTGTTTTGAATGTTTCTATTCATTCCAGATATCAGATCATTTGGTTATTAATGTATGACAAATATGCACAGACTTTATAGAAAATAAACACGTTACCATCAATGTGTTTCAATGAATTAAACTAATTATTTTTCTCCAGTAAAAGTTTCTAAGCTATCTGGTGTAAATTGATGTGGTGTACAGAGCCGTCGTGCTTTTAGGCAAAAAATGGCAAAATATGTTCAAAGATATCTAAAGACACTATCCCATTCGTCATTGTGAGTTGAGGAGCTTGTAAATTCTTGACCAGTATGTAGGTTTACGCATTGTGGAGGTAAATAAGTAAATTAGAGTAAAAGAGAGTAAATAAAATGTTTTCTGTACTGTATGTGGAAGTTTTAAAAACAGTAGTTCTATTGTTATAGTTATATGCAATAGTTATATTTTATTATTATATTGCTATTATATATGTATAGTTATATACAATAGTTACATTGTATGTACATAGTTCTAAAACCATAGTTCAATTCTGTTGGTTAGTTAAGTGAACAATCGCATCTGTTATTAAACAATGAAGAGGTATTTCAGATGAAAGAGTTGTTTTAAAGTTTTGTTAGCATCGAGAAGTGACAGTTTAAGGAGCCTATAAAACTTAATTATTACAAGTTTCTTTCCTTCTTAAATAATTAAAGATTATAAACTCTAGTTGCATAGTTATTGCTGACTGTTTGGCAGATACATTTATTTGCTCAGGTTTAGCTTTGTTATCCATGTAATGAGTATTGCAGCATATTTTATAGTGTCACATTGTTTTAATAGCTCATGTGTTGTAATATATAATATAGTCTTTGTTTCTCTGTTGAATAAATGTTCAGGTAATAAAACTCCAACACTTTCCCTCTCTCATTACACGAAGAAAAAAAATTAGAAAAGATCTTAATGCAAAGGCTGGAACACAGTATGTAAAATAGAGCAATTTGCAGTTGTAAGCTTTTAAAATGTCTGTATAATGCAGCATTTGTCTCAAGACCTGGCAGTAACAAGTGTATTTTCTTTGTTTTATTGCAATAATTTTATCTGCCTTGTCTTTGGCACACTTATGACATTCCTTTTTTTTTTTTCTTTTTTTCCTGTAGAAAATAAAATATTAATGCATGTGAATTAGAGAGACAAAGGAAATCAGTTTGAAAGCCAGCTCACTCCAGGTGGTGGCTTTAATTAACTTGTAAGGTTGAAATTCCATCTTGAAACAGAACGTAGGATTGGAGTTGTGAATTTGTTGTAATAGTTTTAAAATACAGTTGTGCTCTGAGAAATTTCAGTAAAAATAGTCTCGTGGAAATCACTGTTTTGTGATTTGAGCAATCCTAAAGCATGTTTACTCAGTTAACACATTAAAAGTTTTGTTTATTTCTGTTGGTCCTGTGAATTCAGCTTGACACTTGAAAGTCAAACTGTGCTTGTAGTAACCAAGAGGAGGAATAGCAAGAACATAGTATTCCTGGTGAGGGAAAAGCTGTCCTGTTCCTGGAGAGAACGCCTTATCTGACTCAGCATTAGACTTCTGTCTAATGGGTGATGAACTTTTTTGCAATTGGAACCCCTTGAGGGAAGATGTAGTGGTTATTGCAGATTGTGGAATAATAAGTAGCTGGTACCTTGGTATGGAGCAGGTGGTATGTGACGTTGAACTGGAATCTCTGCTGTCCAAGCAAAAATGTGCTCATTTGGTTAACACTAGTAACAAATTCATTCACTTCTTTTGGCGCAACCAAACCGAGATGGAGAGCTATGCATGGTCAGTGTACAGAATTAGTGTTTGCCTTCCATTCCCCGCCCAGGGGGCTCAAGAGGTCTTGATTAGTGACATATTGTTTTAGGGGGTGCTTGTTCCCCCGTGTTGTACAGAAATGTTGTGATGCTGTTTCAGCAATCCCTGTGGATTCTTACAGAGACAAGAGTCTAGATGGGAGTACTGTGTGCGGTGAGTGTGATTAGAAATTAGGTAATTTTCGTCAGGATCCATTAATGAGGCCTCCATCAGGTTGCTGTTCATGATGCTATTAGTGTTACCTGGATTGTGCTGTACTCAGGGCAGGGTGCTGCTTGGTCAGTAAACTTTGTGTAGACGTGTTCTTGGGTCTCCTGGTGTAAACCAAGAGCTACAGATAAGCAGTTGCAGAAGAGGAGAAAGGGGCCATTCTTGTCATGGTCACTCCCTAGGCAAATCTGCTGTAGCAGCAGTACCGGAGCTTGCAGGTGCAAGACTGTGAGGACAACAGTGTGAGAGCAGAATGGAAAAACACAGCCCTGGGGGGGCTGGGAAACAGTACTGCTGCAGTGTGGGTGAAAGGGATCAGATAATTTTGCTTGTTTGACTATGCTAAGAAAGCAATACGATGTTTAAATAGTAATAATTTTGATATTTGCTGCTAGATTAAGCAGGTGAAGCCACTTGTACTGGATTCAAGTCTATCATAATCTGTGTATGATGTAAGAAATCACTCCCTGTCAACAATGCCAAGACTGGTTGCATGCATCACATTTAATGGGCTTTCTCTTCAGTAGCTTCTGTGGGTGGTGAAAATGGAAAACAATCTGCACAATCTTCTCCCTTCGGTGCCACGTAGAGCATTAAATACCAACCCCATTGAGAGAAACTAAGCTTTGGCTGTCAGATGCTTGAGCACCTTTCCTAGTTTTATAATAATTTTTGGCTTTTTCAGAACAGAAATAGCAATGGGATGCTATATTTTGTCTGTCAGAGACGGTCTTTTTTCGTTGTCTTATTTTAATTAGAGGCCTTTTTCTGAAATTGGAAGAATTCAAAATATCTAGTTAAATCTTGTACAAGGGCAAGAGTGGAGGATGCTGAGACATAGCCCCTGTAGGAAGAAAGGGATAGTAGAAAAAATTAATAATTTTAGAATATTTTTTGTTAGTGTTTTTAAGTTCTCTTTGATCTAAGTGGCAAATCCTCACTATTAGGAACAAGAAAATTCATTGCTATGTGCTTGGGTTAAATAAGTAATAGTCTGAACTGTGTGGATTTCATCTTCACAAAGTAGCAGCAATGGGAGGGAATAATTTAAAAAATGGTAAAGCACGACAAGAGAGGAGATAGCATGCAGGGCAGTTCTTCATAGTATGACATTCATTGAATGTGATGAAGAATTCAGATGTCTAAGTAGAAATATCTCTCCCTGCACAATCACAACTTTTAGAGGGAAAAAATCCAAATATACATTAAGTGTATAATTATGGGGGATAAAGGGCAGCTTAGGAAATGCCATAGGAAAATCTGAAGTTAGCCACAAGCATCATTAACTGTAGATGATATGCATCATTTAACCACACTGTGTTACACAAGTTGTCTTATCTTGTAGATTAAAAAAAAAAAGTAAAAAAACAAAACTAAAACTAAAACAAAAACAAAAAACTGTTGTTTTTTGAAAACAAAACAAAACAAAACCAAAAATCCAACAACTACTTATGCCGTTTCGCTGTGTTTTAACATAGAAACTGAGTAGCAGAATAAGGATTGTCAAAATTAATGAACAGGTGACATTAATACAGTAATATGGTAAACTTTAAATTAAAAATACTTCTCTCCTTGTTTCTGAAATATTCCTAATCATTAGAACACAGAGATAATTGTATTATAATTGGCTTTTCTCAATATACACATTTTAAGTGAGCAGCCCATTTTGCATTATCTTATGTTCTGTCCGCACAAGCAAATTTGTAGTTTCTCTAGAACACTACTAATGCAACTGTTCAGCACAAGTCCTGAGCTTTGTTCCCAGCAGGTGGTGACCACAACACCTCCTAGCTAAGGACAATTAAATGTACGATGAAATAAAAGGGTGTTATGGAGTACCATAGGAAGAATTAGTGCAATCTCTCCTTATGGGCACTACAGGGAAAGTCATTTCCAAAGGTATTCTAGACTATTGTTCTGTGGTGATGACACATGACAAGTACATACCTATTTTGTGTATTTGAAGCTAACATTTTTACAGCATCCACTATTCAAGGCTAGGTTGGATTGGACCTCAAGAAAACTGATCTAGTGGACTGTATTGTGGCAGGTTGTTTGACGTAGATGATCTTTAAAGCTCCCTTCTAACTCAAACCATTCTATGATCAAAAAATATAAAGCACAAAACTAAACCCTCAGCACCCCAAACCAAGTACATTGGAGAATTGACACCTAAGTTTAGATTTCTTCTCAAAATTACATTAAATGTATGAGTAGCATTTCTAGAGGCTGGGTAAATATAATATGACTGTTCTTGAAATTTTACAAAACTGGTAATATTTGAAAATATGTCAGTACATTTCAACATTTTTCTTAATTTTAGCACTCTTACTTTTAAGGGTATAATGTAGAGTGCCCATGCGAGTGTTTGTTTTGTTTGTTTTTTTTTGTTTGTTTGTTTCTTCCTCTCTAGTAGAGGTTATGCAGATCTGAGATCTGTTGTGACTGTAAAATTAGTCCACTTGTTATATTAGCCTTTAACACTATACTCCCACCTACAACTACAGGAACACAGCTTGAAGGAAATTTAATTAGGAAAATGAGGGAGATGAAAAAGGCAATGTAATATATATGCGCAATATGAAGAAGAGTAAATACACTTTTCATCTGAATAGTCAGAATAGAAACTGTGTTAAACTGAGATTAAATTTTCTTTTATTAGAAATGGATTTCTTTCATTTTTTAACATTACTACCTAATTGCCCTCCTTATTACTGGGATTAAAAAGACTACTATCATTAAAGAAGAAACATCTTTCACAAATTATATTTAGATTATGGTTTTAGCTGGCAATGACCTTCTCATTATGTGAAAAATAGAAATCCCCAGGGGAACAGACTTAGTGAGGTGATTCCTATCAGCTGGGAAGCCCTGTGCACACACTACTTGCATCTCATGACCTGCATGCATACACCTGTACTGTATCAATTTCTGCTTGTTTACAGGTCATTCAAGCAATAAGCAGGTAGAATTCGGATGACTGAGAACCTGCTCTGCTGGTAGCAGTTTCCTGCCTCACTGCACTCTGGAATATTCCAGCCTTGCTGCAGTGTGCTGCTACATAGCCATGAGTTTTTCAGTTACAACCGTTACTCATTTTCCTAATGTATTTTTTAGCACTTGTATTGGTACTAAGCATAGATGATAACGCTTTACAGAAAAAACACAAAGGATCACTAGGACAGAAAACAGCTTAAGTAATATCTAATAGATAATTGTTTAAGAAAAAAAAAAAAAAACAACATAATCCCCTTTCGTAATTGGAGAGGAGAATACTGGGGTCTGCAGTGTTTCATAGTGCAACCAATACAACCATCGTACATTTGAAACACATGCGTTAGTTATTTAGTCTGAATTAAGAGAAAGAAATACACTATTCGGGTATATTATTATATAGTAAGCAAATACAAAAGCATTTAATACATTAATTTTACACATGAAATTTCAAAATGTTCTAATGATTATTTCAGTTCTAGGTTTTGGGTCAGACCAATTGTGCTGTAACCAGATTTTTCAGACTCTTGCTTAGGGAGGTGTGAGGCCAGTGTTTTTATTGCACTCACTCTTCCTGGATGCATGCAGTAGGTATATCCAAGACCATGTGGCATGGTTGATCTAAATTTCCCAGGCTGCGGTTACTGTGCGTGGATCCATTTAGAATTTTCAGAAAATTAATTTTTTATTGCTTTTAAAGAATTGAAAATATTCATTAAGATTAGAAAAAGAGCAGTGGTGACCCAAACTCTATGCCAAATAGTGCTGCGTATGTTTATTTCGGCAAATCTGTTGAGTGTATTTATGCAGGTTGTCAGCTCAGCTGACAAAATCTTTTTTGAATATCTCTCCAAAAATAAAGAAGAATATATGATATTTAAAAATATATATATATATATATTTTTTTTTTTTTTCATATGACCTTTGGATATGTATTTATTCTAATACAGCTTATGGTTAATTTTAATAAAAAAAAACAAAAATTCCAGTGTTGAAATTATGGTCAGTATCTGATAAGTCCTGAAGAGACTTTTCTCCTTTACAGTGTCATTGTGTGTTGTAGACATAACCTCCACACGATAACTGCAGGCTGCACAAACTGCCTGTGACGATGTGGAGAGCTGTATCAAAAGACCTCATTTGACTCTAATGGTGTCTTTTCCTTCATCAAAGGAACTTATAAAACTGAATTTTCTGATGAGTCACTTGGTTCAAGTAAGGTAATACTATTGTAATGCTTTTGATGTGTCTGAAGTATTGTGTCACATGAAATTTTTCATAACTTCATATTTTACTCTGCAGCATCTTGGATATTTCTGATTGAATTAAATACGTTAAATAATTTAGGGCTTAAAGACCTAAAATAGATACTGTTAGGATTGTGCCTTAGTTATTTAAGCAGGATTTTCATTGTCTCCAAAAGACAAGAAAATTTTAGTGAATGAAAGTGGGAATCTTTGGTTTTCTGTTTAAGAGAAAACATTGCATACAGCTATTGATCTTCACATCTGTTGCTCAAATTGGAAAGCATGGACAGAAAATGACCAACTAATTTGTTTTTCTTAGTTAACTGGTATTTCTTCAGTTGAGGTATTTAGTGGACAGGTTGATTTAGAAAATGTAGTTTCTTTATTTTGGAAGCCTCTGTGTGCATTGATTCACAAAGGGCATGTGAAATATTATTTGTGCTTTTCTAAGCACATATGACTTGAAATGTATATAATACACAACGAATAAAAACGGGAGGAAGAAAGTAACTCTCTGTCCCAAATTTTTTAGCCCAACCAAGATGATTGGTTTTAGAAATCAATGTAAAAATCATGCTTTGGAAAGAAGTCACCTCTCCACATCAGTGATATTTTTGGAAAGGTTGGTGATACCTTGGTAAGCCCAGGAGGCACTTTCTTTCAGAAGCAACCCAGACAACTTGGCTGTCTTATTCCTGTTCCTCAGAAAAACAAAGTCAGTCTCATAATTATCTTAACTGTTGTCTCTTTCAGAACGCAGAGATTATCATTTATCATGCTGAGATTTGGGCAGCACATCATCAAGCCCTCCGTGGTCTTCCTGAAGACTGAGCTCTCCTTTGCTCTTGTGAATCGCAAGCCGGTGGTCCCAGGCCGTATCCTTTTGAGCAGTGCCTTGGCCATGGGTGCCTGTGTTCTGTGGAGAAGCTGAGGAAGGTTGGCATGCTCTGAAGGCCAGGTAGGATGTTGCGCGGATTTATTCTGAAACCAGGTGGTGGAACGTAATACGCTTGATTGGTGTTGCAGAACTGCAGAAAAGGGTTGCTTAGCAACTGTGACCTTACAGGTGAATTTCTATTGACCTTTTCACCACAGAAGATGTATAAACAACAGGTGCTACTAAAAGCATTTTAAAGTGTATCTGAGAGGATACTGTTTAAATTTCATATTATGCTAAATAACACATCCTGCTTCCCTTTTAATAACGTCACTTATTTTTAGATGTGGTAACTTCTTTATGGAGGATTTTCAACTTCTTGTAGCTAAATGTACACAATTTGTCAAATGGCAGCAGAATTCTCTATGAAGACTATTATTTTTGGGGGGGGAACAGATTGCTTTGATTAATTTAGGTAGGAATGGATTAAATAAACCATCTGTATAGCAAACACACTTTCTGAGGAAAAATGAATCCCCGTGTTGTAAGCAAAACTTAGTTTTTAGAAATTTTAAGGGAACTTGATTGTGCAAGATGCTAAATGCATCTATTTAGTTTATTTTATAATGTTGTGTATTATTTCATAGTTAGAACTCTGGTGCTACGTAACTTGTGCTGATTTCAGTGGCTGGAGGTTGAACTTCTCAGAAATATTCAAGACTGATCATTTCCACAGAGGTTTATGGTAAAATTTTAGTAGGAACTGTTAAGAAATGGCTGAATGCATGTTGGGGGGAAAAAAAAGTCTGGAGTTCATTGAAAGCTTTTCTGTACTTTTCTGTTGTTTCTCATAATTTAATATATAATTTTAAATTTAGTAGCTTTTAATATAATTTTATACCTATAAAAGTATTTTATTCCTCTGAAATTTTGAATGTCCCTCTCTTCTCATTACTTCTGTATATTATAACTGTTCAATGTAGAACTTCTTGGTGTACCTGTTTTGAATGTTTCTATTCATTCCAGAAATCAGATAATTTGGTTATAAATGTATGACAAATATGCACAGACTTTATAGAAACTAAACACGTTACCATCAATGTGTTTCAATGAATTAAACTAATTATTTTTCTCCAGTAAAAGTTTCTAAGCTATCTGGTGTAAATTGATGTGGTGTACAGAGCCGTCGTGCTTTTAGGCAAAAAATGGCAAAATATGTTCAAAGATATCTAGACACTATCCCATTCATCATTGTGAGTTGAGGAGCTTGTAAATTCTTGACCAGGTTTACGCATTGTGGAGGTAAATAAGTAAATTAGAGTAAAAGAGAGTAAATAAAATGTTTTCTGTACTGTATGTGGAAGTTTTAAAAACAGTAGTTCTATTGTTATAGTTATATGCAATAGTTATATTTTATTATTATATTGCTATTATATATGTATAGTTATATACAATAGTTACATTGTATGTACATAGTTCTAAAACAATAGTTCAATTCTGTTGGTTAGTTAAGTGAACAATCGCATCTGTTATTAAACAATGAAGAGGTATTTCAGATGAAAGAGTTGTTTTAAAGTTTTGTTAGCATCGAGAAGTGACAGTTTAAGGAGCCTATAAAACTTAATTATTACAAGTTTCTTTCCTTCTTAAATAATTAAAGATTATAAACTCTAGTTGCATAGTTATTGCTGACTGTTTGGCAGATACATTTATTTGCTCAGGTTTAGCTTTGTTATCCATGTAATGAGTATTGCAGCATATTTTATAGTGTCACATTGTTTTAATAGCTCATGTGTTGTAATATATAATATAGTCTTTGTTTCTCTGTTGAATAAATGTTCAGGTAATAAAACTCCAACACTTTCCCTCTCTCATTACACTAAGAAAAAAAATTAGAAAAGAACTTGATGCAAAGGCTGGAACACAGTATGTAAAATAGAGCAATTTGCAGTTGTAAGCTTTTAAAATGTCTGTATAATGCAGCATTTGTCTCAAGACCTGGCAGTAACAAGTGTATTTTCTTTGTTTTATTGCAATAATTTTATCTGCCTTGTCTTTGGCACACTTATGACATTCTTCTTTTTTTTTCTTTTTTTTTTCCTGTAGAAAATAAAATATTAATGCATGTGAATTAGAGAGACAAAGGAAATCAGTTTGAAAGCCGGCTCACTCCAGGTGGTGGCTTTAATTAACTTGTAAGGTTGAAATTCCATCTTGAAACAGAACGTAGGATTGGAGTTGTGAATTTGTTGTAATAGTTTTAAAATACAGTTGTGCTCTGAGAAATTTCAGTAAAAATAGTCTCGTGGAAATCACTGTTTTGTGATTTGAGCAATCCTAAAGCATGTTTACTCAGTTAACACATTAAAAGTTTTGTTTATTTCTGTTGGTCCTGTGAATTCAGCTTGACACTTGAAAGTCAAACTGTGCTTGTAGTAACCAAGAGGAGGAATAGCAAGAACATAGTATTCCTGGTAAGGGAAAAGCTGTCCTGTTCCTGGAGAGAACGCCTTATCTGACTCAGCATTAGACTTCTGTCTAATGGGTGATGAACTTTTTTGCAATTGGAACCCCTTGAGGGAAGATGTAGTGGTTATTGCAGATTGTGGAATAATAAGTAGCTGGTACCTTAGTATGGAGCAGGTGGTATGTGACTGTTGAACTGGAATCTCTGCTGTCCAAGCAAAAACTGTGCTCAGTTTGGTTAACACTAGTAACAAATTCATTAACTTCTTTTGGCGCAACCAAACCGAGATGGAGAGCTATGCATGGTCAGTGTACAGAATTAGTGTTTGCCTTCCACTCCCCACCCAGGGGGCTCAAGAGGTCTTGATTAGTGACATATTGTTTTAGGGGGTGCTTGTTCCCCCGTGTTGTACAGAAATGTTGTGATGCTGTTTCAGCAATCCCTGTGGATTCTTATAGAGACAAGAGTCTAGATGGGAGTACTGTGTGCGGTGAAAATCTTAGCAGTTAGTTTGGGAGCAGGGAGGAGCTGAGCCACACACTGTACATTTCCCAGCAAGCTTACACAGGTACAAATACCATTTTTCATGAAAAGTGGAGTCCCTGTTTCCTGTAAGTGCTGGTAACTTGCTGCTCTGTGAAGAGAGATTGTGAAAGTAGTCTGTTGCTGTCTTGAACTACTAATTGTATTAGAGAAGGTAGCTATTCACTAGCTGCAATACTGCAAGGGGTGTTGATACTCACTGGATGCAGCCCTTCTTTTGTTCAGAATGCACAAGGCAAGAAGTGAATCAGCTCTAGTAGCTATGTTTCTGCTTGTCTTCTCAAATAATTTCATTCGTAGTCTTGCTGCTTCCATAGTTCACAGCAGAACTGTAGTGTGTTTTTAAGAAAATCCATCTGCTCCTTGATGTAGACTTTTTGCTCTTTAATATGGCTACAAATACTTTGTGAATGACCTACCATTTTATTGATGTTTTCCTAGCCATATGCCATGGCTTTACATGGTTTTGCTCACATCTTCAATAAATATGAACTGTGTTTTTTATCACTTTCTCACTGTATTGTGCAGGATACTTGCTTTCATCTGGTGTTAAACATGAAAAATGAATTTGAACATTAGTAGAATCCATTTGGGAACTAGAACTTTTTTTGTAAATAAAATTATTCATTTGTTATGTCCTACTTTTTTTTTTTTTTTTTTTCCAGCAGACAACATATTGATCTTTGGATTTCTGTTCAGGATGCCATAAGGAGAACTAGCACAACAGGAACACGGCAACATTTGTAAATTGATTGAATGCAATACGTAATGACAGAGACAAACATCAGATCTATGGCAATACTATATTATACAAAGCATTTTTCAACAGTTTATTGAATTGGTTATTAAAAGAAAAAAAAAAAACAACATGCTTTCCATCCGGGAATGATGAGCTGAGGGCTATCAGGACTAAGCAATTTTATAGTAATTCATGGTAGACAGTGCAGCACTTCCAATAAGCGCACATGTATGCACATATAATAAATTAGAATAAATCCTTTACAAAAGAAAAATCATCCAGGATTGATTACAAAAAGGGCATTCAATTTAATAAAATAAAATAAAATCAAGCAAACAAAAACACAACAAACCGTTCAGCTGTTATATATTAAGTGTTGCCGGACTATTTGGTATTACTCTATTCCATAGAGATCTGCTGTCTTCCACCACAGAGTATTCTGATTATAGGGAATTGCGTATGTATAAGAACCATTTTTTTTTTTTCTGTCAATTTCACCACTATATGAAGTTAATGGTCATTCTTTGTTGCTGAGGCATTGCATTGTGCTGTTTTGTGATTGACTGTGACTTGTTCCTTTCTTAATGAGTAGAGAAAACATTTGTTGGACCAGATGCTCCTTCAAAGATTTGATAACAGCCTAAGCTGCAGTGTAATTGTTCTGGATCTGTTGCATGGGGGGGATGCAATCTAGGTCATCCAATATAAGAATAGCATCTGGTTTGCTGTACAATGTACCTGTCTGTGAGCTCTCAAGTATTATCAGAATTGTTGCATTACTTGAGACTGACATAGTCTTTATTTTGACAAAATATTTGCAGTTAAATCATTTTAATTAGCATGGTGTGTTAAAATAATTAAAAGTAATTAATTTAGTTACAGTCCTGATAGATTTTTCCATTGAAGATTGGACATTGGTTCTGGAAAGACAAGTTCTCTCACAAGTTTGGTTGAAAAAAAAAGGTGCTTAGCATGAATATAAACTTTTAATCCTTCCTAAAGTTACAGAGCTGCTGTTTATTGTCATTTAGTTAGCTCGTACATTGAACATATATCACACCAGTATTTATGTTACATAATTATGAACTTTATGTATTTAAGCCTAAACAAGTGTTAATATTTGCCATAAAATGAGGCTTTAGAAAATAAAAATCAGTTATTGCAGAATGTAAATAATTGCATTTACATATTGAGATAATATACACTGCGCTGTTACAACTACACATGATACATATCCAGCCCTGTGGGA